TCTGATTGGACTTCATATTTCGACATTAAAATCCTTAAATCAACAATCTGAATGTTCATCTGAACTCTGTGTAGTAGAAGAAAACTAAACGGTCTAAGCATTCATACTACATAAAAACTTGGTTGATCACTCAATGCTAGTAGTTTTTTTTTTTAAAGACGCAAAAAATGAATTATCCCAAATATATAGAAATAAAGATGTGTCTTTAGTTTCGTTTTTTCATTTCACCACTGTGTTGTCATTGAGATCATTAAACAAGTGATGTTGAGTAGGGGATGGGAAAATAACACTTGCCAGTTTTCTGATTGAAGGATTAATTTTAGCACATTTATTGGAAATGCCTGGATTCAATCAACCTTGTTTAGTTTCTCATAAAGTACTTAATTGTTTTGATTTTATTGATGGTTGGTTTGAGCATCATAGATGAATTGCATGAACTGAACAGATACAGTAAATCTTGAAGATAAACCATAGAAGCTTGATTGAACCAGAGACTATGTGTGGTGTCGTGCAGACATCACATGAATCCCCTGGAGGCCAAATCCTGATTTAGTTTGATGGCAAGGTTCATTTTGACCCTTTGTCATGTCACGGAGATAAAAAAAAAAGAAAAAAGATTATATACAGAAAAAGACGAAATGGGTTTGCTCAACAGCAGAAGCATTTTATAGCAGTTTTGTTTTCAGATGGTACGGTATACTTCACATCTGGCGAGACTCTAGCAACACTTTCACCCTAACCCTGTAGCTAACCATGACCAAAAGGGAATGTGAACTAAATAAATCTAAATATTTATTTGCATGGGCAGCAGACGACAACACGGTCAGTTTAATCTAGGAAAAAATATGCAATTTGCTGATACCATACCATAAGTCATCATCACACACTTTATATACTCAGAGTAATGCCAATTCTAGTCCGAAACGAGATCCCCAAAAACCCTCCCAACCCCTGAAAGCCAGAGTAGTAAGCTGTGTGTGGGCAGTCGAGAGCAGACCACTACTGCTCTCACTCAGAGTCTGAATCAATTGGTGCCATCTCATCTATGCCCTTCCACTGGCGCTGGTGGGCCTCCTCGGCGTGCTGCCGCTTGTGCCTCGAGTAGCTAGACGAGTGCACAAATGTCTTGTTGCAGGTGGTGCATTCGTACTTGCCCCCTGTGGAGTGAGATCTCTCATGGTGGTGGAGGTTGGACAACCTGGCGAAGGTCTTTTTACAGTAAGAGCAGCTGAACTTGTCTCCCTTGTGCATTTGCTGGTGCCTGGCGAGGCTCTGCGCTTGGCTGAAGCGCTTGTCACACTGCTCGCATGCATATTGCCCTTCCTCTTCCTCAGAGACTGATGTTTGGTGCTGCCGCTGGCGCTTAGCAGCTCTTGACCGCTTGTTCTTCTTGCAGAGGGTGTAGAAGTTGGGTTTGTCCCTCGAGCACAACTTGAGGCGTATTTTCAAGTCTGAGGACTTGGTGAGACTGTCTTTACCATGGGCATAGTTATTCAGAAGGTCCTTGACATGAGAGACCTGGTGTTTCGAGAGACCAATGGAGTTCTTGAAGGTCATGTCACATTGTGTACATGCGTAGAACTTCTCTCCAGGGAGGTTCTTCTCGATCGGGAACTTCTTTTCGCCAGGGATCTTCTTCTCGCCAGCCTGCTTTTTCTTTTTCCTGTTGCCAGTTGGGCGACGGACATAACTGATTTCTGCAGGTAGGACACCAGAGGGAATACCTTTCCCTTTTTTGTGGATGAGCCTATGACGCGACAAGCTGGAGCTGTGGTTAAAATCCTTCCCACAGATGTTGCATGGGTAAACTCTCATGCCCCGATGTGTTCTCATATGAGTGCCGAGAGCTCTTCTGCTTTTGAATCGCATTGCACACTGCGTGCATTTGTATTTGTTCCCCTCAGCTGACCCTGTATCCGTTTGCTTGTTTGGGGGTAGGGGTGCCTTTCCTGTGTGCAATTGCTGGTGTCTTGAGAGGCTTGAGGAATGACTGTAGCACTTCCCACAGTAGTTGCAGCTGTAATTTCCCCCTGGTGAGCTATATTCCCCTTTCTCTGAGCCTGAGTCAGAGCCATCTCCAACAGGAACCAGCTGGCTACTCCCTGGCTCAGTGTGGTCATCCTCGTCTGAGTCGTTTACTATGACACTCTGTTCTGCAATGTCACAGCCAGGGAACTCCTCCTCATACTGGGCAAAAAAGGGCTCGTCTGGCTCTGCCTTCACCTGCTCCAGATTAAGGCCAGACCCCTCATCCGCCTCCTTTTTCACACAGGATATTGTGAACTTGGACCCAACCTCTGCCCACTTGACAACATATTCTATGGGTTGGGTGTCCAGTTCCACTGTGATGAAGTCTGCCCCAAGTGCGTCCGGTTCAGACGATGTCAAGTCAGTCTCTGAGTCCTCCATTTGACCAGACCCTAACCGTCAATGTGTGTAACTTGTGGTCTTGTTGTAATTACAGGGTCAATAGTACAATAGATTCCACCACTCCTAAAAGAAAGAGAGAAAACACGTCAAAACTGCTGTCAGCTGAGAAATTAAAAAAGAGCCTAGCTAGATAGCTGTATTTCGTCATAACAAATTAACATCACATCCAATATCACAAATAAACAAGCACGCTTGAATATCACAGGTTAAAACATTGACATACTTGTACTTTCACTATCGAAACGTGGAGTTGAATTGTGTGCACATTAACCGAGGAAGTGCTTTGCATTACGTTGACTGGAGGAAATGAAACAAAAAACGACTGCTTCAGTAGGTGTGGTGCTACGTTAAACGTTTGTATGTGCAAAACATCACAAATTATTCATTAGAGACTGGTAGTTAATACACTACATTTGAGGATGACTTACGCCACAATTACAAAAAATTACCAGACAAAGCAGCAACAATAAACAGGAAATACAGTAAAGTCTGGGATGAGCACAATGCATTATGGGAGGGGATTACATCGGCTGTAACTAAAAGGCCGCATTAGAACAGACAGATGTATAAAAAATGCTTGCTTTCTTGTGCCTAAAACATAATCAAATCCTAAAATGACATCCTAAAACTATAGTGAATGACAAAGCAACATTGTCGCAGGGCGGATGCCGGTAACTATATCGACCAAAGAGAGCGTGTAATGTATGTTTTATTAATTCCGCATTTCTAGCTCAGAAGTCGCTCTGGCTCAGACTACACACAAATACACAGTTGCGTGAATTCATCCCCCCCCCGCCATAAAAATAGCACCGAACATTCACCATGGACACTGTTTTTTCGTATTCATGCATTATTCAATTGATTTTCTCAGACAAATCTTTGTCTATTGATCAAGCAGCATAGTACTGATCATAGAACGCATAACACATTAAACAATGAACATGTCTACAGTCACTGATCATGTGGATCATCTTGGAAGGTTGACAGGCTCAAGTACAGCATCGATGACACATGCAACTAAAGGGCATAAAACGAGAGCCAATGCTCGAGAGTTGGCTTCATACGATTTTCCACATCAGATTCAGTGTAATCAGAAGCCCCCCCCCCGTTACGAGATGGAATTTTTTGGACAGGAATTGCCACCAAACCGTGGCCTGAACATATCACCCGGCATTATACTCATTGCAATAGACATGGCAAGATGGCTATATTTCGCATAACCAAGACGTTGTATCATCATTTTTGTAAATTGTAAGGTTGGTTATGTAGCCAAGTTTGACGTATGAACAACTATACCGATTTAAGCGATGGTGCAAGTTAATAATGGTCTCGAGATTACTATTTACCGGGCTTTTATCCTTCTAGATTCGTTGTCTTGACCCTCGACGAAATGAGTCGATTCTGCCGCACCTCTGTCAGATCACAACCAGCGTCCACACGGATATCAACCCTTGGCAATGGCTGCGTATCGTCACTGATTTTAAATAATGTGGATTGTCTTAACGCGTTGAAGGACCGTGTGTGGCAAGCTAGCCACATGCATTTTCAATCCAATATATATACCGCTCCTGCGCAGCATGCGTTGTATCTCGAATTTCATTGGGCAATGGACCAGAGAGGAACACACGTCAATGGACAGGACATAGCATGCGCAGGGTGTCGTGAAAACTGTTGCGAACACTATTAAAACAGTAAAATGATTCGCCTTCAGTCCATTACTAGCTAAAATTAAATGTAAATATTAGAGATTGTTAAATGAGAGCGTAATAACATCCACGCTTTCCTTTTCGAACCACCTAATACCAGATGTATTGTCGAGCCAAACAAAGGACATCAACCCTTGGCTTTACGGCTTTTTGAGTGACGTCATGTGGTGGATGCAGAGACGAAAGAGGAAGCGAGACACCCCACTCGCTGTTTCCCCCCCAGCTTTTTTCTAGTTCAATGAAAGTCAACTAACTAAGTAGACCCAGCTGATATTGCATTGATTTCTAAGGGAGACACACCCAGTTAAGTACACCGAAACTTTCAATTCTAAAAGGCCTGCGTGAACTATCTTAATTTATCCACCATCTTTGGTGGAAGTCTTAAACAAGTCTGCTAACGTTACTAGCTAGCGGTCACTCTACTGTGTGACTAACTATACTGTAGCTAGCTAGATACATTTTTAAAACCATTATCTAACTGGGTCGGAGTTAAGAAACTAGTAGTACACCCAATAATTTCAAAGACGCTACCGGTAGCTAGCTAAGGTATAGAGATAACCAGATAAGTATTCAGTACTAATAAATTATACCGTACCATACTCAGAAGATAGCCAGATGGCTAGTTAGCTAACATAGCATAGATGGCTAACAAACAGCCTGGGTTTTAAATGCTCCCCAGAGTTGTTAGTATATAGGCTAATGATAAATTGCAAGCCATCTAGCTACCTTTACCTAGTTGCGCTAATAGCTAATTCCTTAAGTAAAGTAAGTTAACTAGCTAAATTAGCTAGCTAACTGAGCCAGGAAGGACGACATTCACAGGTAAATTAGAAAACATGGACAATACATCACCAGGAACATCATCAGGTGGATCCAGTAAGGGTGGTTTCAGCATATTTGGTGGAGCATCGCCTGAATATTCAAACGTTGAACTCGCCGGTGTTCAATGTTAATTATTTCTCAATTCAATCCGAGCTATTTGTTGTGGCCATGAGCATCAACTGACTATAGTCTGTGTGTTTTTCTCATACGCAGTGACTGGGATGAGCCCCCTCTCGCCATATCTCAATGTGGATCCAAGATATCTTACACATGTGAGTTCCAGTTAGTATAATGACTGACTTTGGTTCACAAACTGGGAATCTGCCAGATTCATGACCTGGATCTACAATACAACAATTCGGATGGGATTCGTTTTACAGGGGTAGGTCGGGTAATGTAATTATGTGCACTAGCACAACTGTAATCTGCGCATGGCAGTGATTTTTACATGGCAGGAGAGTAACAATTCCAGCCAGAATAACCTACTGTTTTGGCAAACTCCAAGGTCCTCTGAAAATGCTAGTCTCGTGCGAATCGACATCCCTGTGTTTTGAGAGAAATGTCTGAGTTTGACAGGTGTTGCTCGTGGTTTGAACAAGAAAACAATAACTGATCCGATAAATGTAACGAAGTGCTGGGCATAGCCTATATACCGTATGAAGGGCCTTCATGTATCAACTTTCAGTGGATGCTTTTGTTTATACGTTTTGTGCGAATGCATTCACATCCCCAAATGCATCATAAAAATATTGCGCGTATTTAATGCAACCCTTGTTGTTAATAGATCGCAAAGCCGCATACAACTGAGCTAAATGTTTGGAAATGATAAGTTCACTTTCTCATCCATAGCCTAAAAACGTATATCAAGTGCAAGTGCGCTGTTTGACGCATATCTGAAGGCTGGGGGGCATTTAGGACGTCTTCTACTAAGGATCGCTAAAATATCCTAATGATTATGATCACACTAACTCAATTCAAATATTATGGCGACACTATCTATACCAAATATGGTTTGGTATGGTTTAGAAACTTTGGAACCAAGCTCAGTGTAGCCTGTTATCGCCTGGACCTGTTGAAATATCTTCACGCCTAGAAAAAAAAACCCTCCATATTTCCGTCATAAATGTCAATTTATAGATATTTTTTAAATAATAATAATTACAATAGGCAGTTTGGAAAAAACGAATCCCGTCCGAATCGTCCTCTGAATAACGCACATTCTGGGGTAATAATTACATAACCAACGTTCTCTAGTAAACGAGTCGCGTGCGAATAGGGCTAATGACTTCTAATATTACCACAGGACCCTGATGATTTCATTTTACCGACTGGTGCCAACAAAGTCAGAGGCCGATTTGAACTGGCTTTCTTCACCATCGGAGGCTGTTGTATTACAGGTGAAATCTTGTTTTGTCCCTTAGTCTCGCTCTTGACCCTGTATGAAATGTCAAATATAAGTGTGTAAATTCTTGTTTGTTTTGCTTCTTAGGTGCTGCGTTTGGAGCTCTCAACGGGCTCCGCATGGGATTATCAGAGACCAAAGACATGGCTTGGTCTAAACCACGCAATGTACAGTGAGTTATCGACTCGATCCCCCATCTTTGCACACATTAATGGTATTTTGGAGGCAGTGATTAAGTTGGATCTCCTTCATCAATTATTTCTGGGTTTGAGAAACAAAGCAGATTAAGAGTTATATTCGTCTCAATCCCCGTTTCAGTAGAATATAATTACTCATTCTGGAATCAACCAGCAGAGGGCAGTCTTAACCCATTTGTTCAGTATGCCTCAAAATATTTAATATGGTTGGTTGATAAGTCCCCAACTTGTCATGCTCTCCATTATGATTGCTGTGGTACGATGATTCAAGGGTTCCATTTGAACTTTCTAAAGAGATTTAAATGCATCTATATAGGTTATCATGTTTAAGCAGCAAGATTTTGCCCAAGCTCAATCTTCTTATAGGTTGCTTGAACAATCTGCAATCTGTATTGATTCAGTAATAACCAAACTCCAAAAGGAAAGGTTAGTCTTGGCTTTCCATTACAGATATGAGGCCATGATTTGGGACTTAAATCTACTGAAAGTATACCTCTGCTCCACACAAAGAAGAAAAGCTAAGTGGATAATCTGACGTGACATGGTATGACATTAATCCATGATTGTAATTATTAACACTGGACCTCCTGCTTAGTTCATAGTGAGGATCTCACTCTGTGGTCCAAAGGTAAACTGCCGATGGGATCAGACCACTGCTAGAGAGAGTGGGGAGAAGCACTGAATTATACACAATTTGCTGAAATTGATTCTCACCAAACCTCTTGGCTGAATTTATAATGCTGATATGCAGCATCATCGTTTTCCCCAATCAGTATCAGTAATAACACATTATTCCATGGAAGCCCTATATGGTGGTGTTTTGTTGTAAATCTGACCTACGTTGTTGCTTTCACTGAGATTTTGTCATACTCACCCGGCCATTGCAATTGAATGACCCTGTGCTTAACACACCTGACTTGTTAGTGCTGTAACACAGCTGGGTTTATGGGCCTTGTCAGCGCCCTTGACTTCCCTAGCAATCATATGACTTAGTCCCTGTCAGGGCAGGAGGAGGAGGGCAAAGTCTGCCTTGGCCACGGGTACACTGTGTAATGCTGGCTCCAGTTGGAATATTGGTTTGACCAGGGTCATTCTTTTTCAGCTGATCACTGTTAGAAGATAGACAGACAGTGTCATGTGCAGTGCTGTCTTCCTGTTAGTGCATGTCTAAAGCTGAATCAGAGCAGTCATGAGGGTACAGCAGCCTAATTGCATTATGATCTGACAGACTGTTCACACTTGGCCTGATGATCACCTCAACTCATTGATAGCTGTTTTGATATAGGATTTCCATATAAACTGAAGGAAAACTTCAGCAGGCATTTATCACGTTTTCAAATATGCAGCCCTTTTACTAGAACCCCTAATGGTAAATCAACCCTTGTAACACATTGAAGTTGGCAGAGTTAGTGTTTAGACTGTAGATGTCTGTGTTTAATGGTTATGATATCCTCACTTAGGATCCTAAATCTGGTGACCCGCCAAGGAGCAACATGGGCGAACACACTCGGCTCACTGGGTGAGTGCCGTCATTCCCCAACAGAGGATTGATGCAGTTGTTGGTGTCATTTGAGCAGTGTCACACATTGGCATACTGTTATTGTTGTTTCTATTGAGATAATGTGGCATTAATTCACCTGAATGCTTGTGTGTCCTCAGCTTTGTTGTACAGTGTGTTTGGGGTGGCCATCGAGAAGGCCCGGGGAGCAGAGGATGACATCAACACTGTTGCTGCTGGGACTATGACAGGCATGCTGTACAAGTCCACAGGTTAGTAGAGGATTTTTTTTTTTTTTTACAGTACAGTACCTGGCTGGATAGTATGATGTTGAATGCAGAACGGCAAAATCCGATTTCCTGTCTGGAAACATTTCCTCACGTCTCCTCACCTACACAAGGAAACAAAGACACTTACTTTTGCATTTCAGGTCAATTGCGGGAAAAATGCCCATTGTTCTCATACAGAAGAACCAGTGACTCACTGAGGTGAATGAAGCATTGGAAATATGCAGAGGTTAGGCCTTCGTCAAATTTAACATAGTAGTCAGACAACCGTGTTTAGTGTTTTGAGTAGCTAATACTGTATAGATCTATACAAGGCTGAAAGGTTGAGGATCAGGAAGTCATCTGTTAATGATTGATACACCTGCTGCTTATTGGCTTTGGCCTTGTAGGACTCGAAACAAAAACACGATCTGCCGTCTGTCCAGCGGATGCATAGTCTCGCGTAGCCAGACCTTGGGCTGTAGCATTCAAAGATTGCGGATGTAATCTGGCTCGAGAGACTAGCGGATGCATGACACTAGAGTACCTGGAAATACATTGTCGCCTGTGGTAAACATTTTCTCTGGCACTTGGGATCGGACAATGATAAACACTTCTAGATTTTGTTTTTTAGGTAGCTAACAGAAAATACCCATCTAGGACTTTCTGGTTTGGTTTACCTCAATGGTTAAACAGGTTTTTACATGCTTCTAATTTTCCTTGTAGATTCCACTTAAAATTCCACCCAGATGTCTGCATGTGATTGAGAGAAGTTGTTGCGGACACCACTTCCTGGTTAGACTGATGACAGGTTCAGTGAGTTTGGAGGGAGGGACACTAGGCCGTAATTGCCAGCTGTTGTTATCATATAGACAGTATCTACACAGGACACCCCTCTGCTGCCAACATATATTTCCCAGCATGCGTTGCACCAAATTCACGAGGGGAAGTTCTTCGAAAGCTGGCACTGGACTACACTCCTATATCACTGGGAGGGGCGGGGGTACAATATCAGCCAAAGGGGTTAAGGAAACCCAACTTAATTCACAACCATGGGATCAACAACGGGGTTTGGCTATAAAGAGGGTGGTAAGGGGGCCGTTCATATATTACTAAGGTTGTGTAACATGAACACTGCTTCCCTGTCCAAGTTGACCCTGTGGGTTTTCTTTGCCAGACGACTTCTATTTCTGGTCTGAACGTGCTTGAAACTCATCAAACAGACATACTGTCTGTCACGTTTAAACTGTAGACTCACATGTAGCCTCCTGTAAAATCTTTCCCTTTCTGACTTTTTATGGTACAAAATATATAGTCTAGTTATTCTACTTTTTCAAGGATGATTTACTCTTGTTAATACTCTCTCCGTCTGTGTTAAAGCCCTGGTGTAAAAAAAGTTGTGTTTTGATCACACGTCATTGAAGACGTGCTGCTGAGTCAAATGTCAAACTAAGGCCGTGGTCGGAATATCTCTCACTAAAGTGTTAAACTCCTATAATTGCACTCATGCAATGTGTCCAGTGGAATTGAATCAAGTGAAGAGGTGCCTGTTGTTTCCAGTTAGGGCTTGTCTTGTCTAGACCAGAGTCATTTCTCTATGTATGGCTCTGACCTTCACCAGTAAGAACACTGACTGAATCTGATCAATATAAAAGTAATTATGGACTTGCATTTGAATGACTTGCTTACACACATCACCAAACCTTGCAGGAAAACGTGTAGACATGCAGATCATTTCTTTCACAGTGTCCTCTTACGTCCATTAGGGAAGTAGGATAAACATAGCTAGTTGGACTTTTTTTTTTGTCCTGTGGCAACTGGCAACAAACCTGCATAATTTTAACATTATTCTATTGTGCTGATGCCTCTGCTGACTGAGTCTGCCTCACATTCAATTTGGTTTCAGACTAGTGCATCATTGAGAAGTCTCTTTATAGTAGTGGTAGTGATTCATACAGCGTCATAGTGGATATGAATAACAATCCTGACACACACAGAAAATAAATGTTTTGTATCTAGTAGCTACAGTGCCCAAACCTATCACATAGCCTATAATTAAGGGATCTTCATTCTTCAAGAAAAAACACATTCCCTGGTGCATATGGAGTATGGGAATTGTCCAAAAGCAGTTCAATGTAGTGTGTTTTTGACAATGACAGCATGTTTTGCGTTCTCCTTGCATCAGTGCTCTGCTCCCATTGTTGTGGGCTGCCCTTGTTTGAGCACCACAGGGTTGGGTAAGTGGGGTGTTTGTAATTCAAGCAGCCTCCCTCTCTTCCTGCCATGATGACATAGCACCCCTACTGCATCACACACTTATCTTGGGGCTGCTGGTCGTGGGTGTGGGCCTGTGGCTGCAGTACAAGAGAACTTATCAGTCTTATCCCCTACTGCTGTATGGGGCCAGGGACAGCCAACCATGCTGCTACTCAGCTCTCCTGATCCACTCTGAAGACTGTTGAGTCTGCTTTTGCCTCTGTGTGCCCATAGCAATGGCTTCTCATTGAGATGCTTTGCCATTCAAACCTGATCCTGACCTGTAAGCTGATCCCGTGTACTTTCCTATGTATCTATGTGAAGTCATGCTTAGTGCTGATGATTACACCATGATAACTGTCACTCAACCCCGTCGTGCCGACTGGCGCATAGGGCATCATGATAACTAGGGTTCCATTAACCAAGGAAGACATATCCCACTGTTGCTGTTAGCTGTATGTACTTTCCAGTTTCCATAGGTGTGTGCAAATTCCCACCAACAAACTGCCCTTTAACAATGCCTTTGTCAATAGTCAGTGTTGAATGTAGACTGTGGAAACATACCTCATGTCTGTGTTCTATGAGAGGGATGGTCAGCTGGCAGGTGCTAGATGTATCTGTGGTACTAGAATTCCTCCGACTGGCTGCTGCCATTTCTCTTTATTTGGTCACTGTTTATAAGTTGGTGTATGATATTGTTGGTTTGATATCAGTGTAGGCTGGTTAGATTTGACTTATATATTATAATGTGACATATACACGATGTTTGTGTGTTTTTATAGGGGGTGTACGTGGGGCAGCGCGAGGGGGCCTGGCCGGCCTGGCTCTGTCAGGTCTCTATGCTCTATACAACAACTGGGACCACCTGAAGGGAAACCCTCCCACCCGCTACTGAGCCCTGCACTGCTGGAACACGGACCAGTCAAAAACATTTCCCAAAAGATATCCTGATGTCCGGTACCTGAGTTAGGCCCCTAGGTTTGCATTAAAGGGTGGCCAGAGGTCTGGAAGATGTCAAGTGTTAGACCGCATTTATGCTGTAACGCACATCAATGCTGCACATTCTGATATGTATCATACTTTGTTGCTGCTGTGAGGATTCATTGCTGTGAATATCTTATCAAATGCCTATGCACAGCTTTTCCCTGAATTGCACTGTCTGTAAATTTCACTTTGAATGAGTGTTATTGACTGACTTGAATGTTGTTGCTAAGATTGAATGCTGTCTTACTGAAGTGAGGTGGAGTTGCGTCCTATGGATGTCTACATAAGTATCTCATTCCACAACTTTGCATGTGGTAGTTCTCAAATGTTTGCTTTATGATTCCAAGAGAACATTACTGTTAAAATGTTATGTCATTTAGTCAGTCATTTTTTTTTTAGCAGACGCTCTTATCCAGAGCGACTTACAGTTAGTGAATACATTTTTTTTTTTTTTTTTTTTATACTGTTCCTCCATGGGAAACGAACCCACAACCCTGGCGTTGCAAACGCCATGCTCTATCAACTGAGCTACATCCCTGCCGGCCATTCCCTCCCCTACCCTGGACGACGCTGGGCCAATTGTGCGCCGCCCATGAATCTCCCGGTCGCGGCCGGCTGCGACAGAGCCTGGATTCGAACCAGGATCTCTAGTAGCACAGTTAGCACTGCGATGCAGTGCCTTAGACCACTGCGCCACTCAGGAGCTATTATTCCAGAGACGCCATGGGTTGGGTTAAGGGAACTTATACCAATGTCCTGCTTTCTATAACCCCATTTTTGCTTTTCATCCAAATAAGCAATACAATAAGTAGTCAGAAATAATGAATGTATCTATGCACTTGTGCAAATAAAGAGATTACAATTAATTGCAGTTATTGTACGATTTTCTTATCAGTAATGTCTTCCCAAGCCATCTTGTGATTTGACCTGACTTGCACAAAGATAAAGATGTAAACAGAGGAAAAAGAGACTATCAAGTCTGTTCTGCTCATCACTGTAAACTCTGAAGTAATATGATTATTTTGCTTTGATTGCGGTTTCAAAGGATGCGGTCATTGAGTTCAATCATCTGACACAGATCAGTGTATCATAGCGCCTTGAATTAGATTGGTCCTCACACTTCATTTGTTTACTTGTCACAGGTTTTGCTGCATGAAGTTTCTGCAGTTACAGAAAAAATTATTTTGGGGCAAAGATAAGTTAACCCACTTGTCTGTACAGTCATGGCACGGTTCCCACACATCCTAATGGTCGTATCCCCTTTAAAAAATAGATTGAAATCAGTTTGCAGATTCCATATAGAACACTAGCAGCAGTTGTAGGGTGTTCAAGAAATGTGAGCTAGGCACGTCTTGACTACTCATTTCAGTGAGGGGAATGTCTGAGCATATTTAGGCCATAGGTCATTGAGGCGGTCACATGCACAGGCAGGGTGAAACAAAGACGCCTGTGCATTGAGTTCATAGAGTATGGAGCGTCCTTCCTGTAAACAGATTTCAGTTGGATGCGTTTGACAGTCAACATCCATGGAGTAGAAATAGTTTAAATCTGTGGACTAGATTCCTCAATCCATTATGAATGTCATGTCCTTTACCCTCATTACTCGTTCATGATCTATCAAACATTTTACGATCAATGAGAATTACAGATGAGAACAAATGTCTGCCCTCTTCTAGCGCCAAAGGTGAAGGTTATACATTTTAGATAAGTAATCAAGCCAAGTCTGAGATTTAGGTTGATCTGTGGCCAATGTCTGTCATCAGTAATCATGGGAAGACTGGTGCAACTTGTGTTGGTCTGACATGGATTATCTAATCCACAATAATTGGGTACACAACTCCGTTGAGACAGCAGCAAATATTCTTGGGATCAGCACAACATTGGATAATGCTTCACTGTGCATTTCTCCAGACCAACTGCCTATGTTTGCAACTTGGTTTGGGCAATAAAAGGAAGTTCAAACTCAAAACTTGGTTTAAGAAAGAAGTCCAACAACATCACTCAAGGTTTTGTTTTTATTAAGAGTTAAATATGGTACAGGTGTAACAGCAGAGGGAGTTAAGACAAGTGATAATATGGATAGTTCTACTTTATGGTAAAATGCATTTGCACAGGCCCCCAATATGAACTGAAAAAACCTATTAGAACCATTCATCAAGCACCATTGTTTCTCCTCTCCTACCCAACTCCCCATTGCACTTAGAGCCATGTACCCATATCTATGGAGAGACATCTACAGAGGTAATATGCAGAAAGACATCCATATCAGTGGTTATCAATACAAGGTGTTCTTTTGATAGATGTTTGCTTCATTAGTTTTAGCCAATCGAAAGTCATTTCAATGGAATTACTATATTGGGCACAACATTTTCAGCTTGCATATTTGCAACATAAAAACAATCAACTCTTGCACAGCAGTGATACAATCTCAACACGGGTGATATAGGACAGGCAAACCAACACCGGTTTCACAATGTATCCACTAAATACAATGAAGCAAACTTGAGGCACATAAACCAGAACTATGGAGTTAGTGAGATAAGGGTAGATGTATTGGTAATTGAGAATGCCTCTACGTTAAGCTTGTAATTTGGATGACTATTTTGAAGCCATTTCAGAGAAAGCTATACTGGTGTTTAAGCCAAAATAATATTTCACCAGATCGAAAGAAAACATACTAAGAAATAGAAACCAAAGAGTAGCTTACATTACTTGATAGTCTTTTTTGAGTATGGGGGAAAACTAGATATACCCACAGTCCCACAGCGCATAGTCACAGAATGATGGAATTCTGTGAATACCACTACAATGATCACTCATACTAGTGATGTATACTTGACAACTCTTTACCGCATTCCATAAAAAGGGTTTCTTAAAATATGATTGATTAAAATAAATATCTAACCTCCCTCACCCCAAACATTCATGTGAGCTTGTACTTTCTCAAGAACAGAGATTCTCAAAATCACATTGTGAGTTAGCTTTAGATCCATGGCCCATCTTGCTAGCTTGACATTGAGAACTCTAATATGATTATAGAAGGCAAATTCAAAGAATTCCAGATGGCAGCAGGTCCACAAACCCCAGTCTCTATATCAGACTAGGGGCGGGAAGCACATCTCAGAGAGAGAGAGAGCGCGAGAGAGAGACCCATTCCCAGAAGAGCATTAGAGGAAAAAGTTAATCAAGACATTGTATGCGACCATCAGCATTAAAGTGGCTCCACAATAAAATCCAAAAAATATCTTCAAAAAGCTACTGGATACAGCTTTTACATCTGGAAAAGAGGGGGAAAGGAAATAAAGAATTCAGGAACAAATAATGAACAAAATGGGTCACAAAATTCCATGTTGGTTTTCAGATAAATATGAGTGGCTATTGAGATTCTTACCTGTATAGGTGCCCGGTGTAGCCACTTCTCTTTCTCTCCACCCATTTTCATACAGGAAAATAGATCACATACTGTGGGAAGGGCAAGTCGCTCCTGAAAATCAGACCAAGGAACACAGTATTGTCAGTATGAATGACCCAGCTTTTGCTCGAGGCTAAAATAGATTCACTGGTTAACCAGTGGTTGAAAGATTTCAAAACTAAAGAATGCGAAGACTACTGTGAGTTTTTCCAATCAGATCATTATCCATAGCCTTACCTGAGCATTGGCCCTCTTGCGTAGAAGCCACTTGTCCTCCTCTGGTTCTGTGTTGGGTTGCTCCTTTGTGCTCTCCTGTCTCGGTGTGGCAGCGGTGCTACTGTGGGTCTTCTCAGGTAAGACCCAGCACTCTGGCTGCAGTGGTTTGCTGAAAGGGCTCTCCGACTTGGGGCCTTTGAACTGGGAGCTGTGTTCCACCCTGCTGGCCTTCTCCTTCCCCTGGGAGGCTGGTTGAGATACCCAGGCTGAGAGGGATGATAAGGCTTGGGACGTGGAGCCTATGGTCTTGCCAGGCTTGCTAGGGTGGAGCCAGGACTCCAGGATGGCCTGAACCTTCTGTTCTTGCTCTTGGTGGTAGATGGTGGACTGCTTGTTTTTGTCCACTGAGACTCCGTTCTTGTCCCGACCCTCCTTCTTGAGGAGCCAGGTGGAGAGGGCCTCTTTGCCGCAGTTCTCGTCACACACACACTGGGAGTAGCTGGAGCAGGACTCGTTGGCTTTGCACGACTGCTGGACTGGAATGGCCTGCTGCAGCCAGATCTCCACAGGGCTGGGGGTCTGGGGTGTGGTGGCAGCAGAGGTGGGGGTGCTTTTCAGGCACAAGAGTTTGCCCAGGTTCTCAATCTCCACAGACTTGGCACAGCACGAGCCGCAGTCTGATTTTGGCAGCCAATCGCTAGTGTAGAAACCTTCCTGGAAAGGCTTGAAGACCTGCTTCCACCTGTCAGCATCAGAGGCCTGGCAGTCCTCGCTGGTGGTCTCCTTGGCAACAGTAGCTGGGGTGATGAGCCAGTCACTCAGTTCTTCAATCTTTGCCCTCTCCTCCTCTTCTTCTTCTTCTTCTTCCTCCTCCTCCTCCTCCAGAGCCATGTCTAACTCAGACTCATCAATCTTCTCGATGGAGAAGGTTGAGCTGCTGCTGATGCTACAGATACTGTTGGTTCTCTCTCTGATGGGAGTCTTCTCCTTCAGCAGCCACACCTCCAGGTCCTTCAGCTGGCCCCAGGCCTTGTGGAAGTCAAAGGGGGCCACAGGGCAGGATGACTGGATGACAGAGGAAAGAGATAAAAACATGATCTTTTTGACTTTGTGATAGTCTGGGTATAACATGAACCTGCAACTCAAATGTTTTTCGTTTGAAAATAGATATGGTAAATGTAATTAAATATTTGTTTTTCTAGGAGCAGAGTCTAGATACATTTTAAGCAACAAGGAAATTAATTTCGCGCCATCTGGTCTCACCTGAATATCCCTGCCGGTGATCAACCAATCCTGTGGGTTCTTGCTTGATTGGTATCCAACTGGGGCAGTAGTCACTGGACGGTTTCCTAGGAGCCAGTCGGCAAGAGGTGCAGACTCCACCCTCTACATATAAAAAAACAAAAACAAGTGTGCATGTCAGTACACTGTATTTCCTTGTGAGTGAGGACTCCATGCATGTATAACCAAAGGAATCACAACTTTACATGGAAAGGGCCTGTGGCATCATGGTACAAACCTGTTTCTTAGCTGCGATTGGACAGCTCTGCTGAAGCCAAGGTTGCTCGCTAGTATTAGAGCTTTGAGGGATGATATTCAGCACGGGTCCTACTTCCATGTGCTGGGGAGGGGAAAGGGAAGTTATGAACATTTTATCCACGAGGACGTGGGAGATGTCAGGGTTTTATGTAAGCAGTAACAACATAGATTGAGGAACTAGGCCACACAAGGCAGTCAGCATAACCAATACCTTCACCAAGTTATCTCAAACTGCAATTCCCAAGATTTACACCAGAAATATTTTCTAACACTCTTTCCTTGACTACAATTTTTATAGATATGAAAATGTACATGTCTAAACCTTATGAAATATACCTTTAGTAAACCTTTAACATTTACACTTTCACACACAAACTGGCAATGAGTACAGTTTTATGCCTCAGTGTTCAGAGGAGTTAGTTGTAAACCTCCATTAGAGCCGACAGGGAGCCTTATGTGGGCAGGGTGACAGAAGAGGCTCAACCGGTAAACACACAGACAAAGTTCAAACTTCTCCAATCAACATCGGGCTAAATCCAGTCTGGACTGAAGTGAACTTTGTTAGTAAGCTGTGTGTGTAATTCTGCTTATAGCTCCCAGAGGATCACGTACCTGGGTGGCAATGGTGCCAAAGGAGGTGATGGCCTGACGCAAGGAGCGAGTGTCAGCCTGGAAGCTCATCTCAGGGGTTTCCTCGGGAGTCAGGTTCAGGGAAGATAACCTGAACACACAGAGAAGAAGACATTTCAGCACACCATCTAAAATCCCCCCCCCCCCACACACAGTTAACTACAGCTAGCTACTTACACAAGCCAAACTTCAGGTTCTAACGTGATTATGCCCAAGTTAATTATAGAGGTATAATGGAAGCAAATACTGAAATGATTGCTCAAGTGCCATGACTTAAACACCATCAACCGTAAACAATAATTGCGAATACTGACTCCCAAATTACATTCAATTCAAGACAGAGGCCATTGTGCGATCTCTTACTTTTCCATGCAGCTAGTGAGCTGGTTGGCCAGATTGTTGCTGTTGGAGTTCTCTAGCTGATGAATGAGAATGTCAAACTGGCCTCGGAGCTGTGGGCAGAAGAGAGAGGGAGAGAAAAGGAGAAGGTCAGACCTGACACTGGTAACATGAGGAGAAGGTCACTGAAGTAAGAGACAAAATGGAACTTGATTTTCAGAGGTTTCTGAGCAGACACTGCAGTGCAGATATCGTCGTGTTGTGCTGCAGACATGGGGTACTACTCACCCGGTGAAGCTGATGTAGCTGTGCCTGCAGAGCCTCTCCCTTCAGCTGCTCCACAAGGTCAATCTGCTCCAGCAGCCACACCTCACGGGAACGCAGAAACTCCAGGTGTCTGCTGATACAGGTGTGAAGCTGGGACTTCACCTGTAAACAAGAAGAGAAAGTAGCAAATTAGTCAGCAAAAAAAATTATCTGCATACTAGAATCCGTACATACACTGCTGTCAAGTCACGGCCCTGAGATGTCACTGATACGGAGCACTCAAGGGCTGAGTAGCTTCTTTAATCTCCTGCTGCTGAAGCTATGCAAGGTCAGACACACAGAGAAGACGGCACACTGACCTATACACCCATCAGCTCCTAGTCTCCTACACAGTAAACTACTATATCCATGTCAAAGAATAAGGGAAAACACATTTGCGTTTACCTATTCCTCTGCTGGGTAGTCAGAAAAAGGCTGGATGATTCTCTAAGATGCAGTGAGAAGCGAGCAACTGCTGCTGCAGTAGTGGATCCGCTGCTGTCTGTGTCCTCTCAGACTGCAATGACCTGCCTCGCCCTGCTACTACCTTATAAAGGCGGGTCTGGGAAACTCTATCCGGTGGTCATGTTTCAATTATTGGTCTCTCCGGTCGTCCTCATCACGAGCCATATACTAAATCATTAACTGTGGTCACGACAGGAGGACAAAGACCTGTTTTATCACAGCTCAAAGACCCATTTTAACATCACAGCTCAAAGACCCATTTTAACATCACAGCTCAAAGCCCCACAGCTCTAACAGGGCTTAGCATATCTGCCACAGTTATGACATACAATAATGCCATGGATCAGTTTGTGGGGAACTAATGACTACCCTGCCAGGTGTGCTAGGCTTCCCAGCACATCAAAACATACACACCCTCTACCCATCTGCCTTCCTGAGGCCTGGGGTGACTAACCATGGTGCTTGTCCTAAATCCCTGAAAACCACTGTGTTTACAGCATAGAGCCCATTTTATGAGCCCGGCTGTGTGTTCCTGACATACAGTGAGGGAAAAAAGTATTTGATCCCCTGCTGATTTTGTACGTTTGCCCACTGACAAAGACATGATCAGTCTATAATTTTAATGGTAGGTTTATTTGAACAGTGAGAGACAGAATAACAACAACAAAATCCAGAAAAACGCATGTCAAAAATGTTATACATTTATTTGCATTTTAATGAGGGAAATAAGTATTTGACCCCTCTGCAAAACATGACTTAGTACTTGGTGGCAAAACCCTTGTTGGCAATCACAGAGGTCAGACGTTTCTTGTAGTTGGCCACCAGGTTTGCACACATCTCAGGAGGGATTTTGTTCCACTGCTCTTTGCAGATCTTCTCCAAGTCATTAAGGTTTCGAGGCTGACGTTTGACAACTCGAACCTTCAGCTCCCTCCACAGATTTTCTATGGGATTAAGGTCTGGAGACTGGCAAGGCCACTCCAGGACATTAATGTGCTTCTTCTTGAGCACATTAATTCCAGCATGACAATGTTTTGGGTCATTGTCATGCTGGAATACCCATCCACGACCCATTTTCAATGCCCTGGCTGAGGGAAGGAGGTTCTCACCCAAGATTTGACGGTACATGGCCCCGTCCATCGTCCCTTTGATGCGGTGGAGTTGTCCTGTCCTCTTAGCAGAAAAACACCCCCAAAGCATAATGTTTCCACCTCCATGTTTGACAGTGGGGATGGTGTTCTTGGGGCCATAGGCAGCATTCCTCCTACTCCAAACACGGCGAGTTGAGTTGATGCCAAAGAGCTCGATTTTGGTCTCATCTGACCACAACACTTTCACCCAGTTCTCCTCTGAAGTTTGCCAATGAACATCTGAATGATTCAGAGGGCCCTGTATATGTGCTTTCTTGAGCAGGGGGACCTTGCGGGCGCTGCAGGATTTCAGTCCTTCACAGCGTTGTGTGTTACCAATTGTTTTCTTGGTGACTATGGTCCCAGCTGCCTTGAGATCATTGACAAGATCCTCCCGTGTAGTTCTGGGCTGATTCCTCACCGTTCTCATGATCATTGCAACTCCACGAGGTGAGATCTTGCATGGAGCCCCAGGGAGATTGACAGTTATTTTGTGTTTCTTCCATTTGCGAATAATCGCACCAAATGTTGTCACCTTCTCACCAAGATGCTTGGTCTTGTAGCCCATTCTAGCCTTGTGTAGGTCTACAATCTTGTCCCTGACATCCTTGGAGAGCTCTTTGGTCTTGGCCATGGTGGAGAGTTTGGAATCTGATTGATTGATTGATTGCTTCTGTGGACAGGTGTATTTTATACAGGTAACAACCTGAGATTAGGAGCACTCCCTTTAAGAGTGTGCTCCTAATCTCAGCGCGTTACCTGTATAAAAGACACCTGGGAGCCAGAAATCTTTCTGATTGAGAGGGGGTCAAATACTTATTTCCCTCATTAAAATGCAAATCAATTTATAACATTTTTGACATGCGTTTTTCTGGATCTTGTTGTTGTTATTCTGTCTCTCACTGTTCAAATAAACCTACCATTAAAATTATAGACTGATCATGTCTTTGTCAGTGGGCAAACGTACAAAATCAGCAGGGGATCAAATACTTTTTTCCCCTCACTGTAACCGGAGCATAGACTGACTCAGTGGGGGTTCCTTCTGATCCACTAGAACGGGGTCAACCCTGGGTGGGACCACGGGCTGTAAGAGAGTCCCCTGGTGGTTTACTCACCTCTCTGGAGTTGTCCTTGAGCTGGGCCTCAGCCCTCATCACCCCACCGATGGCCTCCTCCAGCTGAGAGCGGGCCTGCACACACTGCTTGAGGGTGGCCTTCTCTCGCTCCTCCACAAGAGACATTCTGCAGAGAGATACCGTTTTTATTACAGGGTTAGACTGATAGATAGTATGCTAGTTTTTGACATATAATAAACAGCATTCTTTTTGTGTTCTCTTTCCAAAGACCTAAATCCTCCCTTGGTTCAGTGAGCCACTGACTGCTTTCAGGGATCAACTGTGAGCCGAATAGGGGGTGCTCGAACAATCAAGTTAATTGTCTATACACTAATAAAGCAAATGCTTTCCCTAGTCTAATAATGCGCAAGTAAGGAAATGTTTTACCGTCAGCACTGAGGCTCAATTTCTGTTCCCTTTTGCATTGAAAACAACTCTCGCTTTCCTGCTTTCTGTCCCCTTTCACTTCTGCTTTACATCTCTTAACACAAAGATAAACGATTTGGGGGGAAAATAAGTATCAGACTTAAGAAATGAAACAAGGTGCACACTCTCCCATCACAGTACTCATTTTGTCATTGTGACCACCAACAGGTATAACTACAGTGACCGATCAGGGTCCATGCTCCACAGGGAGATGGGTCTACTGTACTTCAAAATATACTGAGTGGTGTCTACTGTCATCATTTTCCTGTGTGCAGACACTGCAATGACTGAGGTACATTTTTGCAAGGGCATTAAGTTAAAAGGAATGTTTAGGCCTATTAGTTCTGAATTGGTCTCATGGTATGTTGTTGACTCGGTCCTTACACCAGCTTTGAGGTCTCTCCCACAACAAAACCCATCCTAAAACTGCTCAATCACTACCTGTCATACCCATTGTGCTGGGCTTTTGACAGAGCAACAATGGACAACTGTTATAGTGAATGTTCAGCATGCCCTCTAGGTCACGGTTTCCCAAACTCAGTCCTGGACCGAATTTGGGAAACCCTGGTCTCAGTAAACAACGTGATTAGACATGTTGCAAAATACAGGTCCAGAATCAGACCGGATTCCCATAATTGATTTCACCTATCACCTCAAATCATTAAGTGTGGTTACTCTTGGTTGTATTTGAGACTCCAGTGTTAGGCCTATAGTTTAACCAAGTATTTCAAAGCTGCTTAAAATGAGGCCATAAAATCTCTCTCACTTAAAACACTTCCCTTTCTCTACATCCATCCATGGGAGTGCTCACCTCGACTAACACCTCGACTAACATTGACTCTGTACCAGCACCTCCCTAAAAACGGCATTGTTGGTTAGGGGCTTGTAAGTAAGCATTTCACTGTAAGGTCTACTACACCTGGTGTATTCGGGGCACGTGGCAAATAAAATGTAATTTATTCAAGCAGCTGACATCTTATGATTTATTCAACTTTAAGGATCAAGTCACTGATTTTAAAAAGACACTAGGCCCCTTGGGAACGACAGTGAAACATCAAATACATAATCGTTTTGTATCACAGTAAAACGTAATAGAGAAAAAAATGCACAGATCTTAGTACAATTTCAACCATATATAAAACCAGTACCTTGCAACAAAGTAACTGATACATATGCCAGCTTTAGATACTTGTTAGCTAGTTTGTTAGAGTAAAAGCAAGCGGTCTCCTGGACCAGGCAGCTTGCTTTTACTCTTTATTTGGTCATTATGAGACGACGACATACATTTAGAGGTATTTCTCATCTTAAAATAGCACCGTCTTCGACAATTAACCGGTTGGTCAATACATGCATCAGGGTTTAAATGTCATGTAACGTTAGCTCAGGTAAAATGGAGGAATTCGTCACTACATGGCTTGGATCGTCAAGGCTGGATATGCACGATAACAGCAAAAAATAGCGTATTCTTGGAAATGAGCCTTACAAAGCCAACCACAAACTCCAAGGTCATAGCTACCTCATGTTACGGAATGTCCAGTGATATCTGTCCGTTTAAATCCTCTGATGTTGCTCCCTTGTCTCATAAACAAAGGATACCAGTTTAATTGTTTGCTTTTATGATTTATCGTGCCACGAACCACCGCTGACCGCTACGTCATCGGCTGTGTTTCCGTCAGAGCCTAAGTTCAAGCAACCACCATCATGGCGCGTTCAAAACAACTGGGAACTCGGAACTGGGAACTCGGAAATCTTACTTCCGAGCGTTCAAACTAACTGCGAACTCGGGAAAAAAACGGGCTCATACTGGGAAAAATCGATTTGAACGGTCATCCAACTCGGAATTATATCGGACCTCTTTCTAGAGCTCCAACTTTCCGACCTCAAAATCACTGACGTCATGATTTGACCTCGTATTTTTCCGAGTTCCCAGATGTTGTGAACGCGGCACCAGTCTCGCATTCCGCACGTACACCACTAATAGGAAGAGAAGGGCCCTTCAAAGGGGGTTTTCTGCTTTTTTCAATCACACCAAAGAAATGCACAGCAGGCACAGGCGCGTTACCTACACTAATAATAATTTGGCTCATTGGCTGGCTGTAATACAATTACTTACTGTCTTTATCAAGACAATGAAGAACTCGTCTATTGGAAAGCCCCAAGCAATCAAGTGAATTCGACATTGCTTGACATTGTAATAACATACACTTGCAAAGTTACCAGTGAGGGTCCAAGTGGTTCAGTGTTTTAACTATAGTGATACATCGTATCATGTAATGTTAACTAGTTAATATTTTATGGTAATCAGTAAATTGCCCATTATTGTGTGTGTGTGTCTCCATAGATAGACAACTCTAACAATCATGTGTCAATCTGCTACGGTGGGGTCTTCTTAGCCCAATATGTACTCTTAAGGAACCTACCGTTACTCCTTAAGGTTAAGGTCCAAGGACCGTATATATTATTTTCAGAGGTAGACTGGCTCTGGTAGCCAAAACAGCCAAATACTTATTCTAAACGTGAATCGATTCTCAATTGCGATACGGTTCTAGAAACATAAAGCCCTATACTTTCATATTACAAAAATAATTTCACAAATGCATAATATACACTTACTGTGCACTGTTTTAACCGGATTTATCAGTTGCAGCTGACAGTATTTTTCAGTGACAACACGTTTCTGGCGGCCGTTACACAGGTTTTCGGAGCATGCTAGATAGCTAGCTATATAGCACAGATGGTCCCTCTGTCTTCCGTAAACACATGCTGTAACATGGGGATATTGACGGGTGGGAACACTAACCCTATAAAGGTGTGTATCAATTTAACCTTCTGTGTTTTGATTATTTCTCGCTGATATGAAAAATAATGTCCTTATGCTTACAAGTGATGCGTGTTACTGTTCAGAGCGAGCATCAGGGCTGTCTTAAAGTGTAACTCATAACCCCAATTTCAGCCTTTGCCCAACCCCTTCAAATTTGTGGGTGGGGGGTAATTGCTCATAGATATTCATTTTGGGGGTGGTTAAATGTAGTTGTACCTGATCACTACACTTCCTCACAAAAGCATATTTACCAGAAGTCCACTTGCATGCTCTGTTGATAAAATGATGTGCATCATAACCAAACTCAGCTCTAGTCAGTTAGCTCCCTGTGGTAAGGTGCCAAATTCCTGACATCGATTGCCACTTGCCGTGTAGGTTCGCATCCCTCATGGGGCGCAATTGTATTTTATTTTTTTATGTGGACTCACATTTATTTAGGTATTGTGTTGGGAAGAAAAGTGCAATCATCACATTGAAAGTGAAAATTACGGGCCTCAATTCAATCCAACATGCAATGCAGTATTTACAAAGTATATTTTTTTCCCAATGTCAAATTAACTCACAGATTGGTCTTGGGTACTACCTGGGCCACCCCTCTCATAAGTATGCTTTCACTTTTAAGCATTAGAAGTGTGTGGGCACAGGATGAATATTGTAAATAAAGGATATGAAAAAAAAAATTATATATATATATACACACACACACACACACTTCTTCCTCGAATGTTTAGGCCTATTAGTTCTGAATTGGTCTCATGGTATGTTGTTGACTCGGTCTGTTTTTGCAGACTGCACCACCAATCAGGCATAGCAGTAGGGAAAAAATACAACGCGTTGACCTGACCACCATTGTCATCTAGTTCTTGTTATGATGGATGTAGCTATGAATATAAATGTATAATCCTCATAGCCTACATGTTTCATTTTCTTCGTCAAAGCACAGATGTGTATGAAGCAGTATGCAAAAACGTTAAATTTGGTCATATGCGTAAATGTGCCTTACTGCCTAGAATTTTTAACAAAACTCCCCCCATACAGGAGACCCCTTCATCCAATGACTTATGTGTAATGTAATGGAACTTAAAGAGTCATGATCTTCCAAGCTACAAGATGTGCCTTCAACTACACGCATGATCAGGTCACACACACAGCAGCGGAGCTTCACAAGTCAAGAAGGTAGCTAGCTAATGATTTGCCTCATTTCTAGCTAGCTAGCTAGCTAGCTAGAAGTACAGTGCCTTCAGAAAGTATTCATAACCCTTAACTTACTCCACATTTTGTTGTGTTACAAACTGAATTCAAAATTTATTCAATTGATTTTTTTTCGCTCACCCATCTACACACTTTACCCCATATAATGACAAAGTGAAAACATTTAAAATTAAATCTAAAAAATCGCTTAGGGGACCTTGAGCCAAGGACTATGCTAATAATGAACTTCTGGTAATAGCCCTTACCAACCCTGAGGTGGTGGTCATACTACACTTGAACACAACAACCCCTAGCTAACAGATGAGAATGGCAGCTATTATGCATCATTGTCTAGCCTGCTGTTAAAGTCAGTGCCTTCAGAATTTCAAATAACACTTCCCACATTGGTGTACAACGATCCAACATTATCACACTCTTTTCTGTTTCACGCTGAACTACACACTAACCACCTAAACAAGTAACTTTATTGACTTAAACAAAAAATTGGTTGGGGGGGTAAATTGTCATTGGACTCCAGACCAACGACATCCTCTGGTCAATGTCCACTCGTGTCTGGAGGCAGTTCTGCATTTTGTCCTTAGTAGTGGTTTAATTGACAATGACAGAATCCTGATTCACGCATCCCTGGATGGTTGTGCAGAATGCTGTGGTACATGCTGGTAAGGCT